CGGCCTGGCGAGGCACGCGACACTAGGGCGCGAGGACTCAGACCCGTGCACGAGCTCGGTGCGGGGTTACTTAGGCCGAGGGAATGATATCCAAGACTTGATAAAAATGATCTCATACTTAGAAAATATTCTAAGTAAGGCTGTGAGCACGGCTAGGGCTCGAACAAGACTCGAGACTACTAGGGCTCGAGAATTGGCTAGGCGCAACTAGGCGCGATACTCGTGACCGAACGACTCGGTTCCGGACACGGCTTGACTTGTACGATTTATCGAAACATACTAGGTTTCGATTATTCGTCAACTGGAATAATTAATTCCGACTGAATAAAATCCATTACTAATATAAATGGACCGGAATTAATAACTGAGATTGAATAGCTGATAACTGGGCTCGGAACTCAAGACGAGCAGTATTAATAAAAAGAAATGGTTCAACTGGGAACTAAAAACTGTCATTTTATTAATACAGAACTGGGTATTACAATCTATCTCCCTTAAAATATTTCCGTCCTCGGAAATACAAAACTGGAGAAATACATACAAGAACTGAAAATATATACAACTGGGTACATATCAGAACTGAAAATCTGGAAAACGAGCTCTGATGTCTGTCTCGCGCTCCCGAGTGGCATCTGAATCTCTATGGCGATTCCATCTGATACGAACGAGGGGAACGTCTCGGTTCCTGAGCCGAAGGACCTTTCGATCCAGAACTGCTACTGGCTGCTCCTCGTAAGTCAAATCTGGCTGAAGCTGAATCTCGCTGTGCTGAAGCACATGCTCGGGATCGCACACGTATGGGCGTAGCATCGAAACGTGGAACACGTTGTGCACGCCAGCCAACTCGGGAGGCAGAGCCAATCGATAGGCGACTTCGCCCACTCGCTCGAGAATCTCGAACGGGCCTATATAGCGAGGATGCAACTTCCCTCTCTTCCCGAAGCGAACGACACCTCTCATCGGTCGAACCCTCAGGAATACATGATCTCCGGGCTCAAAGTGCATCTCTCGTCTATGCTTGTCGGCTGAGGACTTTTGCCGACTCTGAGCTGTCTTGAGCCTCTCTCTGATCCAGGCTACCTGCTCAGCTGTCTCCTCGATCAACTTTGGACCGAGTACTCGTCGCTCTCCGACGTCATCCCAATACAGGGGCGATCGACACTTGCGGCCGTAAAGTGCTTCGTAGGGAGCCATCTGAATAGATGCCTGATAACTGTTGTTATAGGCGAACTCAGCTAGTGGCAGCCACTTCTCCCACTTAGCACCTCTGTCCAGAATTAAGGCTCGGAGCATATCCTCGAGCGTCTGGATCGTCTTCTCGGACTGGCCGTCCGTCTCTGGATGGTAAGCCGAACTAAACTTTAACTGGGTGCCCATTGCCTCATGCAAACTCTCCCAGAATCGACTGGTGAATCTGGGATCTCGATCGGAGATGATCGTAATGGGCACTCCGTGGAGTCGAATAACACCACGGGTATATATCTCGGCAAACTGATCCATCGTCATGGTCATCGCCACAGGCATGAAATGCGCGACTTTCGTCAGCCTGTCCACCACTACCCAAATCGCGTCATGATGCTCAGACGACTTAGGTAGTCCCGTGACGAAGTCCATGGTAACCTCTTCCCACTTCCAGCTGGGAATCTCAAGTGGCCGTAGCAGACCTATGGGACTCTTGTGCTCGGCCTTTACATGCTAACAGACCAAGCACTTCTTCACGAAGTCTGCTACATCTCTCTTCATTCCTCGCCACCAGAACGACCTTTTCAGGTCGTGATACATCTTGGTACTCCCAGGGTGGGCTAAATATGGCGCACTGTGGGCCTCAGTCAGGATTTCCTTGCGTAAAGTCACTACAAGAAATTTCAGAAAACATGACGAAAAAAATCGTCATGTAAACCTTGTTTTTCGTCACAACAGTATATTGATGACAAAAATTTATCGTCACAGCGATCGTCACCGTAGCTGCGTCATATTAGGTATAGGTGACAAATTTCAAATTTGTCACCTAATGTTTAACTTTTAATGACGTTTATCAGTTTCGTCATGTTATTTGGTCATTTTTCGTGACAATAATTTCGTCACGTTTATTATGAAAATTTTGTCAGGTAAATGATTATTTCGTCATAAAAAATCAAGTTTTAAATGACAAAAACTCAAATTTGTCATCTAAATATTATTGTTTAGTGACGAATTTTCTTTTTTTGTCTAATTTATAAAATTTCAATGACGAATATATTTGTGGTTATTCGTTAAAATAATTGTCATATTTCATAGAATTCGTCATGAAAGAGTTGTTTTATAATTACAAAATATTGGTCGTCACAAAAATAAATTTTAAATATGACGATACCAAAAGTGTCACAAAAAAATAGTTGTGACAAAATATTCATCGTCTCCAAAAATATACAACAACGACGAATTCTTTTGTCATAAGTTCTTATCTCTCTGATTACGAAAAAAAAGATTGTCATCAAAAGCTTGAGATATAATGACAACATAAGTTGTCATTAAAGGGTAAATATTTAGTGACAAAATTTATTGTCATTTTAAAATTTCATATAGTGACAAATCCAAACAATACACCACGATTACATGTTGTGAAAAAAAATATTTTTAATGACAATTTAAAATTTGTCGCTATTACAAATATAATAACTGTCATTAATTGCATATATTTAGTGATAACTTTATTTGTCATGAAATATATAATACAGTGACAAAAACTATCATCACTCTAAACAATTGTCATGAAAAAGAAAATACAGTGACAAAATCTTTATAAATAAAATATGACAAATTAAAAAACGACAATAATAATAATTTTGCTAATTAAAAACTTAAAAAAACGAACTAACAATCTCAAAATGTTCCAAATAAAATAATAATAATAATAACAACAAAGCTAACAATCTCAAATTATGTTCCCATTGGCAGCCATAAAAGCCATAAGTTTGTCTACTTTTGCATTCAAATCACTAACTTGGTCCTTAAGCTCAATCACTTCAGACTCTTTCTCCCGCAGCTTTTCTTGTGTCTCTAGAAGTTCCTTCTGACCATTCGAGTCATATGCTTTGCGTCTACTTGGCGGCCTCGGGCCATACCCATAACCTTTTATATATCCAGCTCCATGGCCAAGAACCTCAAGAAGTATATCTTGTGCACTCTTCTCAGCGCCTTGTTCAGAATATTTTTCTCGCCTTGATATCATCAAGTCCTAACAAATACAAATAAAAACTATATAATCATATTGATATTCATTTCTACAATTAGAATAATAGATTGTGCATGCAATTTACCCAATTTTCTTCTGCCTCTTTTGTCGACCAACCACCTTTTTCCTTATAATGCGTACGCTTATAAAGCTCAATCATATCTAGTGGTCCTCCATTCATCTCCTTCTCAGACTACAAGAATTTATAAAAGTAAGCATAAAGAGTTTAAATTCAAAAAGAAAAAAAAAGAACTAATGATCATAAATAAATTAATATCTTCAACATAAACTTACTATTTCATGTTGAAGAACAGTAAAAGGTGTTCGGCCCGAGACATGTGGAGCACGCAACATTTGTCGATTCGTCACATTAATCGAACTTTGGTGCTGTCAAATCATAAGTAATGTTATTGGATACTAGAAAACTAAAAATATGAAAACTACAAATTTAATATGCAAAATAGAAGAATAGTATTATAATGCATTACCTTGAATTTAGGCGAAGCAAAAAGCTCACACATTTCTTCCCAGTTTTCTTGACTAGCACAAAAAGAGGGCTTGTTATTCTTAGCTTCTTCATGAGACGAATATTTCTTGTAATGTTTATGTAGTCTGTAACGTTTTTGCCGTGAACTAGCTTGGACTCTATCAATCACGCAACGTTTCACACCCGGATCATCCAAATTAATATCCATGTGGATCTACACAAATAAAAATGAGATTATTTAAGGTGATATAAATAATGTATTCATGCGACTTGAAAAGTGTTTCTACTTTTTACCTTTATATGATCAATGCCAGGTTGAAGATCTTTTTCTTCATCGACATCTTTCCACCTTACTGGCACCGGAAGGACATCTCGGGTGACTACACCAATTTGACTAGAAAACTTTGAAGACTCATCTCTACTTTTAGGTCTTCCTATCGATGGATCCACGGTTACCTTCATTTTTTTCCCGCAAGCCTGGAATGCTTTCATAATGCCTTTGCCCATAGTTTGTCCACGTCTTTTCTTAATGGTGGTATTGGAAGCTGCATATACACCACTCAATTATTTTAATTAGTCAAAAGCATCACACTCATAAGATTGTAATTTATTGAACTTTGAAAGACAAAGGCACATGTATTTTAATTTAAAAGAGCAGAGCATGCATGTTTTTGATATTATACAAATCACTGGAGTTTCAAACTAGATTCAATGACACATTTATCAACATTTAGCAAATAACCGAGGTGAAAGTGAGGAATTCTGCAAAACATATTTTCAGACTATAATAAGACAAACCAAATTAGAAACATGGATAAAATTGTAAAACATCTCTTATAAACCACCAGACACGTGTATTTTTATTTTGATTCAAAAGAGGAGAGCAAGCATGTTTTTGATATTATACAAATCACTGGAGTTTTAAACTAGATTCAATGACACATTTATAATCAAACTAGATTCAATGACACATTTATAAACATTTAGCAAATAATCGATGGATTCTACAGAACAAATTTTTAGACTATAATAAGACAAACCACATTAGAGACAGAGATAAACTTACAAAACAATCCCTTATAAACCACCAGGAACATGTATTTTGGTTCAAATGAGCAGAGCAGTCATGTTTTTTATATCATACAAATCACTGGAGTTTCAAACTATATATTTTTTTTTCAAAACGAAAACAAAATGCATTAAACTCAAGCAAATGTCCACAACTGATTACATTACAATCCTATCTAGTCTAAACTAGATAGTAGTTAGTAAACTGGCTAATCACAACAAGGATTTCCCTCAACGACCAACTTGGCCACCTACTCCTAACATAACAAAGCAGAAGAAAGAACAAAAACACAGTGCTTAAAAATTTGTTTCAGATACAATAAATCATTTAGAACTGTAGATAATGAAGATAGCAGCAAACTTTTTCCATGAAGATTTTGCAGTAGCTATTGTTCTTGAATATTGCATTGCACCTCTGGCCATTCTTCTCTCTTGGAATTACACATTTATCAACATTTAGCAAATAACCGAGGTGAAACTAATGAATTCTACAGAACAAATTTTCAGACTATAATAAGACAAACCACATTAGAAATAGAGGTAAACCTATAAACCATCTCTTATAAACCACCAGGTAAATCCACCCACCAAGTTACTCATTGTTGTTAACATGGACAAAACATCAACCACGTAGAAGAATCTATCAATTATCACACCAACAATTGCCACTACCACTTAACAGGCACATATGTCACACCAACAATATGAATGAGCACACATTACTCCGACGCCAAGTAATCGGATTTTCAACAACAAATTATTACATACGGCAACTACAGCATGTTTATCATATTTTTGCAACTGTAAAATCGCAACGGTTTTGGAGATTCTTACCAATGATATCTGCCTGAGGTGATTGAGTATGTTGACTTCCCTCTTGTAATGGAGAATGAAGTGTGCTTCCATTTTGCTGACTTTGATTTTGCCGAGTCCTCTCTTCTTGTTGCTGAGTTTGAACTTCTTGCAAAAGAGTGCTCTCCTTGTGCTGAGTTTGAGTTTGAGGAGTCTGAACTTCTGGCATAAGAGTGTTCTCCTTTTGATGAGTTTGAGGAGGCTGATTAGTTGGCATGTTTCCCTCGAACGTCGGATTCGCAGTTTTGCTTCCTATAGACGAACCATCTGTTATTGGCAATCCCTTGTTCACTTTGTCTGATGCCATTTCGGTTTTCTCGGATTGTCGGGTTTTATTCCTTGTTAAACCTCCTGTTATGTGTTCCATGAGAATCTGCCGAGAATTATTTGGTATGATTCTTGGTTTTGGATTACGAACTAATCCAGGAGCCATTTGAAACAATCTGTACGAGACAAAAAAAATATATATATATTAAAGTCTGATGTAAAAAAAAATCCATCAGAAAGAATGAATACCATATGCAAGTAATTAATTATTCAACCTTAATGTAAGGCACAACCAAACAATCTACTATTGGGTAAAAAATTCTGTAAAACATAAAGAAGCAAGATAAAACTTAGAGTATTCAGACCTCTAGTTCTTCCAGAAGAGACTGATAAGAGAAGGCGGGTTATAATTTGTTGATTGTTAGCCTAATATTGGATTTATAAGAGTGAGGGAGCCGAGAGATTATAGCAGAAGATACGATCAAATTGAATTCAGTCTCTATCTACCTTAAATAGATAAGAGTACCAAAAATGAAACGAGGCAGTGAGCGCCAAATCAAAAAAAAATTCCGCCAATGTTTTAGTGAATAAGATTGGCCAAAGATAACCATATTACCCTTATTAAGCGAATTTTTAGAACAAAAACAATAAAATTAATTAAGCTAAATTTTACAACAAAAAACCGAAAAATAAGGATGATTCATATGAGTATAGAACTCCCCGAACCTGTGGTACCCGATAACCATGGGCGTGACGAGCCTCTATACTGGAGGTACAGACGACCTGAACTCCATCGAGAAGTGGCTGTCACTCGGTCACAACACCTGATACTCCACGCTGCAAACGCGGTCGTCCGCTCTCTCCACCCCCAAACCTCACCCTCCGCCGCCTCGTAGACCTTTGTATAACACACAATCGCCGCCTCCGTCCTCGTCCTCGCCACCGTTTCGAGCACCAGGTGGCAGACTTCATCAATGGCGGAGTATTCAATTCATATTCTCTCGTGAAATTGATGCAGTTTTTGGGTTGAAATTGGGAGATGAGATCGAAATTTGATTATTGGTGTCGAGATTTTTGGGCTTTTGCGGTGTAGTGATCTGAATTTCGACTAGGTTCATTGAGGGAGGGAGAGGCTAGGTGTTCTGCGATTTAGGGATTCATTGAGGGAGGGAGAGGCTATTCTACGATAAGATTTTATTTTTCTCCTTAATGGGCATAATATTGTATATAGTAAAATTTATATACATTTTTTTTAATTAAATAGTATGACAATTTAAATCATTCAAATATGTAAGCTAATTAATAACTTTAGCATATACATTATAATTAAATATGTGTTTTTTATTTATATAAAAAAATATTATTAAATTTATTAAATAAATTTTTAAAAACATTGGACTGGGTCAAATCGGTTTGATTAGTTGTTTTTTGACTAAACCGAAAAATTGATTCGGTTTTCGGTTTGCATTTTATTAACAGTTAGATTTAGGGTTCGGCTTGGGTAATAGTGAACGGTTAACCAACCAAACCGAAAATCAATCTATACATGTGTGTGTGTATATATATCATATTTAATATATTTTTATTTATACATATAAGTTACAAAAGCATTAATTTACTTCAATAACCCCTAAAATGGCTCGAACATTAATTTTCGTTCAAGATTTGTTTCGTCAAGCCATGATTTGGGTCCGAGATCTTCCTTAGAGCAGAATTTGAAATTTATTGAAAAAAGTAAACAAAATTAAGATTTCTTTTGTTCCAAAAAAAAAAAAAAAATCAAATTTTGGTTCGGTTGAAAATTCAAGGTGTGTTGCGATAAACCAATAATATTGCGGTTAATAATATTTCTTATATAAATAAAAAAAATATTGTTAAATTTATTAAATAAATTATTAAAAATATTGGACTGGTTCAAATCGGTTCGATTAGTTGTTTTTGACTGAACCGAAAATTTGATTCAGTTTTCGGTTTGCATTTTATTAACATAATAATTTTCGGTTCGGTTTGGATAATAGTGAACGGTTAACCAACCGGACCGAAAATCGATTTATACATGTATATATATATAAATATATATTTAATATATGATTATTATACATATAAGTTATGAAGACATTAATTTACTTCAATAATCCCTAAAATGGCTCAAACATTAATTTTCGTTCAAGATTTGTTTCGTCAAGCCATGAAATTGTCGAACAATTTGAAAAATTCGAACAGTTCGTGAACAAGTTCGATTATATAAATGAACGAACACAAACTTGTCAAACCTAACAAACGAACCAAATAAAAATATTTGTTCGATTTGTTAAACGAACAAACACGAACATGTTAGAAAAAATAGACGAACTCGAGCTCGAAAACTTTTGGCTCAGCTCGGTTCGGTTAGATTTGACAATGGCCTTAACTATTAAATAAAATTATAGAAAATCTCTAAAATCTTAATTAAAACTCCCTCTCAATTGATCAAGTCCCAAACTCTTCGCACAGTACAAAGTACAGAACACTTCGCAGACTTGCAAATTAGCACGGTACAAAACACACAAAATTTCGCACAGTACAAACAGCTTTTCTTCGCACCTTTACGTTCGAATTCTCCATTGAATTTGCACTCTCAGTTTCACAAATTTACATTCCAAGATTATTTGTTTCGAATTTACACTCTCCGTCTGAATAAATTCACATTCGCAAATTGGTTGCTTGAAATTCGCACTCTCAGTCTTACAATTTTCCAGGCATCAAGCCGATTTGCCGTAGAAAATTTCCACGGAGACCTAGCGGCTAGCATCTCCTTGGCTCGTGCTTTTTTATCAGCAACCAGGGTGGGCGTGGTAGGAATAGGTTCAACCTAGCCTCTTACAAATTCGGGTCTGTACCCATCTTTATCCGGCAAAGGTACTCACAATTTTTATTTTTTTTTTCAGAAAATAGTCATTGATTCATAGTCCGAAGAAATTAGAAAAGTCTACATTATTGATAGTACCAAAGGGATGTGTTTAGGTGCAGAAGCCATGATCGGTATAGTGAGGCTAGCTTTTCATTCTCTTGTTCTGTACTCGCCAGATATGTCTGACCACCTTCGTTTTATGGGATATATAGGCTTCTACTATTCTGTAACTTTTACATAAGAACAAAACGAAAATTTTAGCATTTAATTATCCTGGTTTATTGTAAATTCATATCAAACCCAATGAGTTTTTTGTTGATGCAAGTTTAAATAAATGGTTGGTTTTTTGTTATTTATATGTAAGAACAGAGGATGGACAAGAGTTGGATGCGTGCTAGAAAATGGACAAAAGATTACATAGAGATTTGTACAAACTCAATTGGGAGTGGAATGCGAGATTCGGTGTCCATGTACAAGCTGCTTGAACTTATCTAGTAAAGATCAAAAGACTGTTAAAAGTCATATTTTGATGAATGGGATAGATCCAGGATACGTCACGTGGTTTTATCACGGTGAACCAACCTCAAGTAACGGAGGGAGTCAGCAAGCTAATGTGGGAGATAAACGTCATTCTGGGTCAGTGCACCAAAATCATGAAGAATATGAAGACGATGGCGTCAACGACATGTTATCTGACCTTGGGGAACAGTATTATCAACCTGATACACACGATGGCAATAATATAAATACAGGTGGAGTCCCAGCATATCTTGAGGCATTGATGAAAGATGCCAAAGCAGAATTGTACCCAGGATGTGAGAAAATCTCAAAGACATCTTTTATCATCCAATTGCTCCACTTGAAAGTGTATAATAAACTGAGTAATAAAGCCATTGACATGTTATTGAGGTTGATAAAATTAGCCTTACCGGAGGGAGAGTCACTTCCAAGTTCTTATTATGAGGCTAAAAAGTTTTTGCGAGATCTTGGATTAGGATATGAGTGCATTCATGCTTGTAAAAACGATTGTGCCTTATTCTGGAATGAGAATAGTAACCTGGAAAGTTGTCCTATTTGTGGAACCTCTCGGTGGAAAGTTAACGACGGCAAAGGGAAGAAGATACCAGAAAAGATTTTAAGGTATTTTCCTTTGAAACCCAGACTCCAACGCCTTTTCATGTCTGAGAAAGTATCAAAGAAAATGGTATGGCATAAAGAGAAACGCATTGATGATGACTATATGAGGCATCCTGCGGACTCCCTTGCGTGGAAAGATTTTGATAGAGAGTTCTCTTGGTTTGCAAAAGATCCTAGAAATGTTCGACTTGCTTTATCTACAGATGGTTTTAATCCATTTGGAAACTTGAGTACCACTTATAGCATGTGGCCAGTAGTTCTAGCTCCATTAAATCTCCCCCCATGGGATTGCATGAAACAACCGTTCTTTATGTTATCTTTGCTTATTCCTGGAAAGAAGTCACCTGGAAAAGACATTGATGTCTACCTACAACCACTGATTCAAGAGCTTAAAACATTATGGGTTGATGGTGCACAAACCTTTGATGTTCGTCGTAAAGAAACTTTCAATTTACATGCTGCCGTTTTGTGGACAATAAACGACTTTCCAGCATATGGGGATTTGTCTGGGTGGAGCACAAAAGGTTACCTGGCCTGTCCCACTTGCAATGAGAAGACCCATTCTTTGAGATTGCGTAATAAGATATGTTACATGGGACATCGACGCTACTTACCGAAAGATCATCCTTGGAGGAGAAGTAAGAAGTTTGATGGAAAAAGAGAAGACAATGAGGCACCTCAAGATTTAAGTGGGGAGGATGTGTTAATGCAGCTACGAGGATTACAAAATGTAACTCTAGGGAAGCATGTCAACAAAAAAAGGAAGCGACACCCCGAGGAGTTAAATTGGACTAAACGCAGCATTTTCTTTGATTTGCCTTATTGGAGTAAGTTGAAATTAAGGCACAATTTAGATGTAATGCATATTGAGAAAAATATATGTGAGAGCATCTTAGGAACCTTAATGAGTGCAGAAGGGAAAACAAAAGATACACTTAATGCCAGACGAGATTTGGAGGACATGAAAATTCGCAAAGAGTTGCACTTGATCAATTCAGGTGATGGAAAACATGTGATGCCTGCTGCTTGTTATGTAATGAAAAAGAAAGAAAGACGTGACTTTTGTGAATTCCTAAAGTCCGTCAAGTTTCCTGATGGCTATGCATCCAACATCTCTCGTTGTGTTAGTTCAAGTGATC